TAACTTTGAGAATTCGTTCCTAAGGAGAAGAACATCATTTTGATTGACTCATGCCATGTGGTTCAATACATTTTCACCACCAACAACCAATCTCAATCTTGAGTCCTTAACTCACTAAAGAAATGGGCTTAGGTGACAAAAGGTCTAATTTTGTCACGCCCCGTACCCTACGAAGCGCTAACATCCCTACCTTAGTCGATTGCAGTGCGACGCTCCCAGGAAGCATCGCCGACCCAGCGCCCAATCAGAGATCAAACACATGCAGAAGCGATTAAATAAACAACCCTGACAATTATAAAATACGAGCCAAGGATAGCCAAGCAATAAACACGATCGCAGTAGAAAATAGGTACATACTTACATTGCTATAAAAACCTTTTACAATATTCGTTTATACAACAACAGCAGTCAACACTCATAATAGCAGCCTCTAGGTCAAAAGGGTCAGTGGCTAGAGATACTGGATGGGACTAAGACAGGCTTCAATCAAAAAGGTGTACTCGCTTTACTTAGGAGTATTGCTAACCTAGGGACCCCAGTCCGGGTCGGACCCTGAGGACTCCTCTATCGAGCTCTCCTGGGACTCGGACTCCTCGGAATCCATGTCCTCACTCTCGTCCACCGAATCCGGTTCTAACTCAGGGTCTAAGTATAATCCCAGCTCGTCCTCGGCTCCTATTTCTTGATCGGATCCCAGTTCCTCAACCTCTCCATCCTGTTCGTGATCTACTTCCATGGCTATCGGCTCTTCTTCATTCTGGTGGTCCAAGGGTTCCGGATCAGCATACAACACTTCAGGTTCCTCAGCCTCCTCGACCATAGCAGACGGAGTCCGTCCACGGTTTCGCCACGTCGCTCCAATCGAGCGTAGTTGGAGGATCGGAAATCTCACCACTTACCATCCGTGGGATCATGACATTATTCACGTCTACCGGGACATCAAAGGTCCTGAGCGGGGGTCCGATTGCTCCGTCGGCTCCTCGATAGCACCAAGCCACATATTCTTGGGTGTGGTAGTGCGCCTCCCCACATTTACAAACAAAACAGCATAATATCTCACATAGGCTGCTCCATCACCACAGGGGTGCACGCCTGACGACCGCTGAATATTGTGCGGTATCCCAAAAAGAGGTGATGCCCTCGACATTCTACGGCTGGGGGTCTGAAATGTTTCGGTTTACACAACCGTGAGACGAATCTCAATGAGTTCAACCCCTAAACCTAGGCTAGACTAGCATGCAATCTCCTGACCGGAAACAAACATTTAAAATCATAACACAACCATAATCATACAATTCTCTGACCCTGCAGGTTAGACAGTTCAATATGTAATAATCATGAGACATACGTGGCACACATTATCACACGTACGCCAATCACATGCTCATACACCGAGTCTCACACACTCGCATGCTATTCAATGCATGTTTATGCATGCAAATGTCATTGACATGTCATGCACATTTCTTTGGCCCATCGGCCCACACCGGCACACTTGCCCAATTAATTATTATTACGACTCGAGTCATCAATTTTTCACGGCCCGGTGCGTCTAGCCCGCTTCAAAGTGCATGAGGCGCAAGAACCGATCTCGGCTCAGTGTCTCTAGCCTCGCTTCAAAGTGCATGAGGCGCAACACTGTTCTCCTTGCGAACCAGAGCCTGCTTCAAAGTGCATGAGGATGGTCGCCTTCCGGATGTACCGGGCATCGTCCTGCTTCAAAGTGCATGAGGACGGTATCGACCCGAAGGTCCGTAGGTGATCACACAACTCATTATTATCTGAACCCAGCGTATAACGCTTCAGGGTATTTTAAGTGATCACATGCTCGTGACAGACACGCATTCTCGCACAATTTCATCACATGCCTCACTCTTGGCATACGCAATGCGTGTCCATGTTATGCAATGCAATGCACCACGAGCACCAACATAATTCAGACACCCAATGTCACAACACGTGCTTAATTGGCCCAATTAATACCGTGTGGCCTAATGTGCGATTCACAAATCAGCAATTCATTGTAAACCAAACAATGGCCAATCGCACTCCACAAAATCAACCACACAACATACGACATAGCAATACGAAATCAACCACAATTAAGCACAATTGACGTACAATCAGTCAACCCGGGTACACCCGGCAATTTCACCAACAAGCTCCTAAATTGATCATTAAACCCCATTTTCCTCCCCAATAGTTCTCATTAAACCACTAAATTTTCCCGATAATAAATTCTACTAATCGGTCCTCAACCCAGTCTGAAATACACACCGATATTACCTAAGCCAGTCCAACATGCACCGATAACACCTAAACCAGTCCAGAAAAACGCAATATCAGTTCTAATCCGGGTTTAGGAATTTTACTCACCTAATCCGAAGTCACGACGACGGGGAATGGCGACCGATCACTGGTGAACAGTGAAACCGGCGGCGGAATTCCCGACGGGACGGCGGGCGCGGTGTACGGACGGTGGGGATGAACAGTGATCCCCGTACGGACACTGTACGGACCGGCTGGGACGGTGGCCGGCGAGGCGCCGGTCACGGCGGCGACGGTCATACGGTCTGGATGAACAGCGACCGTACGGACGGTGAACAATGACCGTACGGTCACTGTACGGACGGGCTGAACGGCGACGTATGGACGTTCTGGAGGCCTGGGTGTCGACGGAACGGCAATCGGAGCTCCGGCGAAGCTCCGGCGGTACTGTTTGTAAAACAGAAAAAATGAGAAAAGAGGGAAAAAGAGAGAGAGAGAGCTGTTTTTGGACTCAAACCGGGGCTGATGGTGGCTGCTCTTGGGTGAAACTAGCTGCTGGTGGTGCTGGCTCGGCGGGGACAGCTCCGGCTGGTACTGTTCCGGCGTGAACAGTACCAGGACGTGCAGAAACGGAAATTGCAGAAATGGAAAACGGGAAAAGAGAGATACGGTGAAGGAAAGAGGGGGAATGGCTTGGGCTGAACAGAAAATGGACGAGAGAGAGAGGAAATGTCTGGTCAAATGAGTCAAAGATGGATTAGTGGAAGACATGTGTCAATATCTAAGCCCATTTGACAATTTTACCCTTGATCTAATGGACTAGATTTGATCAAATCCAATAATTTAGGGGTACAATGGTCTTTTGTCCCCAACCATGGTTGACCAGACCTGGTTTAACCTTAACTCACCTTGGTTAATCCCAAAATTAAATCCAATTTTCGGAATTAATCAAAAATGGCCTAGGGGCATTTTTGTAATTTTCCGATCCCGAACCGAAATTCCAATTTTTGCACATACGCGTTCCATATATGGGTGGCCAACATGATATGGCGTCGGAATCGCGAAATTCATCGCGCAAGCCCTCGAAAATCCACGTCAAAGTTTCGGGAATAAAATAATATTATTTTTCCAATTTTCGTCGAAATTCCAATTTTTGGCCAAAACGACTCCTGGTATGCGTGGCCACCCAAAAATGGCGTCGGCCACGAAAAATAACCTCATTTGGCCTCGAAAAGCGACGCTGGCATCCCGGGGGCAAAATCGTAATTTTTCACCCCCGGACCGAAATTCCAATTTTTACTCGTACTAACTCCACATGTGTGTGGCCAGCGTAATATGACGTCAGATTCCCAAAAATAGTCTCTTAAGCCTTCGAAAATCGATATCGAAATCCGGGCCCAATTCCGTAAACAAAACCCGCTAAACTTTCAATTTCAGAGTCTCTCACTAACGGGCGGCAGTTTAGAGATTACGCGTATCGACCTAGGGCTACCCGTATCGTAATGGTCTCGATCATTGAGAGAATGAGAAATTATCACTAGCCCCAGAGGCTACGATCATTCGGTTTAGGTTCAGGACTGATTGGCCACGTGCACTTTTCGGTCATGCAGATTCACCTGCGATCCGAGTGTATAACGTTGGCCTTGGCCAAACCAAATCCGTTACCTTTCCTAAGATTGGCCCACATCGGTTCAAAATATTCCCTCAGCATCTCTCGCGATCGGTATCCGTTTCACGATAGGGTCTCCGATCCACGTACCGCTTTCTAGTTAGCCATGCCCCATTGGTTAGTATCCCGAGAGCAATCAGCTCTGGGCAAGACTTACTAAAATGAAATGCGAATAATATCCGTTTTATTGATCCCGGACTTACATCGAAATTCGGGCTGTTACAAATTTTGTCCCCTTAGGTAAAGGCGACAATTTTTTTGTCGACCGTTTCGTGCGTTTGCTTCATTTTCTTTACCTAAGGTGACAAAACCCTTTTTATTTTGTTGCGTTTGATACCTATTTGTTGCTTTAGATACCAAAGGCGACGGACAATGATTCATTGCCTTTGGTAGTGAAAGGCGGGACGGACACTAATTTGTTGCCTTTGGAAACCAAAGGCGGAACAATAAGGTTGCCTTACTCGAAGGCAGCAAAACTCATTTTTGTAGCCATACACTAGCCAAAGTCGACAAAAATTCGTTGCGTTTATCGGGTCTATGGCGATAAAAATTCGTCGCCTTAGGTCAATTTTCAGGCCAAATTGGCACCAAAAGGCAATGAAAAATGTGTCGCCCTTAGTAATTGTTCGTCGCGTTTGGTTTAAATTTCGGGTTAGGCAAGGTGATGACATCCCATTGAAGCGGCATTCTCTCTAGCTAAAACAAGAGCAGTGGAAGGAGATTAAAGTGGAGATGCATGGAGATGGCGGACTTGTATGACAGATTCGTCACGTCCTCAAAAGCTTAGCAACCGGAAAACTTGGGCCGTTCTCGAAGACATCCGGGAATTCGCAAGGGCTTTCAGCTCTCTCGAGTACAACCCGATCAGTAGAGATGCAAGTTCTTGTGCTAATCGGGTTGCTGTCCATACAAAGGAGGAGTATATGCAGCTTCGATCGGGTTTTACTACCCTCATCCTCCCTCCTGGTTTCTCATTCCATAGGGTGTTGATGTTATTTTCTTGCTTTTGACGAATGAAAGTTTGAATGGCCAGAAAAATAGACAGGCGGGTGTCGCTTAAGAGTTTTGGTTCAGAACAACGGAGAACCTCGATCTTATTTCACTTCAATGTCACAACAAGTTTTTAAATAATACATTTTTCCAATGAAGGACGGTCTTCCACATGCCTTCTTTATCAAGGTGAAATCAAAGCACATGGTGAAGCAATTACATACAGATCATCCTTTCTCCCAGCTGTAGCACCTAAAACTTCAGTCATGTCGAGTTGTTCCAGCGCTTGCCCATTTGCTAGCTTCCAATCATAATGATACAACAGTGATGCAAGTATAAGTTCGATGCTGGCTGCTGCGAATGCAATGCCTGGACAGATCCTCCGACCAGATCCAAATGGAAGGAATTGATAGTGCATCCCCTTATAATCCGCCGAAGATTCGACAAACCTCTCGGGCTCGAATTTCTCCGGATTTGTCCAGTATCTTGGATCTCTCCCTATAGCATATGCATTAATAATGACTCTCGAGTTCATAGGAATATCGTATCCGTTGACCTTGCACCCTTCCCTCGGTGCTCTGGGGATCAACGGTCCTGGTGGGTGCATTCTGAGAGTTTCTTTGATAATGCACTTCAGGTAATGGAGTTCTTCGATATCCGATTCTTGAACACGGTCCTTTCCCTTTAAAACCTGCCGTATCTCGTTCTGCGCCTTGGCCATCACCTTCGGGCTCTTGAGCATTTCCGACATCGCCCATATGAGCATTGTCGATGATGTCTCGCTTCCCGCAGCAATTATATCCTGCGAGAGTCATGCAAATATACCCCATTATATATAATTTTTAGCGAGCATCTCAAAATGATTTGATGATAGTAAAACTTATTTGAATATTTAATGGATTTGATCAAGTATGAAGCTATATTATGTGAATATTGATATAAAATGAACTCGAGGCTATTCTAATAGACAGTTCGTTAACGATCAAGGTAGAGACAATCTTATAGGGAGAAAAATGTTTTAAGTACTGGAGGACGTAAAAGCAAGTGTGGAAGCAATGGAACAACGAACCATGTCAATCCAATGATTTGTTTGACTGGCCAGATTGATTAAACGTTCTACACTTAATTTTATTGAGGAATTTCTCTGAGCTCTTTTACCTGTAGACAGATGGACATAATGGCTACCAGATCCATGCTTAACGTTCAAATTTGGATGCATATAAGAAGACCAAACAAGGAGCAAACCTGAATCCATCTACAAGTGCTTGAAACCGAGAAATCAAAGCTTTTTTAGAGAGTTCTTGAGTCTGTCTCTCCATTGCTGCATCGCAGTCGATTAAGTGTTGATCCAAAGAGTTAGCAAGAGTGTCAACTCGCTTTGTAAGCATACAAGATAAGTGGTCGTACTTGGAGTGAAGACATTTGCCTAAGTGAGAGAAAGTGTGTGGGAAGCTCTTTGTATGCACTTCGCAGATGTAGTTTATGGTCTTGGGAGAGAGTCTACTACTTCATGTGGACAAGGTGTGAAAACAACCGTCGGAAGAGTCTATTGGCGACGGAATTTATAATGAGGTAGCTGTAGAAGGAGGCAATTTCTACGCAAGGCGGTATTCACACTCTTGGCTAAACTAGTGGATTTCAACCGATTTGGGCTGCTATAGCCGGAAGAGAACGAGTAGGCACACCCGATCCGAACCAATAACAACTCTTCACTTGCAATTTCTCTTTCCCTTTTGCTACTAACGTAGCAAATGTTTGTTAATATTCCCTTGAAGCAAAGAAAGTCTACTTTCAAATAAAATCGCCCCATTGAATTTATAAATTAAGGGTTTACCCCCCGCAAATAGTGCGAAATCCCCATTGAATTTAAAGTAACAACCATCCTGTGTATTATGTGAGATTTGCAGATAGTAATAAAGACAGTGGGAGATTGGAAAAAGCGAGAAAATAGAAAGATTATCAGCTTCTATTCATTGAAGTGAATCTGTTTGCAAAGAGCATAACACAAAATTCTATGGCAAGCAAATTTGAACCAAAATTCCCATATTTTTTAAAAATAAAAATAGAAAAGATAATATAATGAATTTATTAATAAAGGGATTGTATGGAGATATTTTATTTTAAATGCAGTTTTTCAATCTTTATGTTGTCTTACATCATGTTTTTAAATGGACTGGTACAAATACACATAAAATTGGAATACTGAACCATAATCAAATTAATGTAAATATCAGAATAAAATTTCAACTCTATAGGTATTAAAGCCATATCAATTTGATATATAATTCATTCATAGTTATATTGCCTTATGTCTTATCTTTCAATATGCTTGACGGAATATTGAAAGAGACTGGAAACATTTAATAAAAACTCGAGTTCGGTCAAGTGTAAATTATAATGCATTGGCTCTTGAGGATGACAAGCTTCTCTATTAACGTGTTATGTTTAGTTCTGATAAAACTTAGTTATAGTTAATCTATTGCTTGTCATGGTACTTGAACAGTTGTTGTGCGGAAAATTAAGGCGAAAATGTGATTCATTTTTCTTGAAAAAAAATATTTAATATGAGGTATCAATAAGACAAAAATAATCGTTAAAAGAGTGATTAATTCCACTTAATCATAAATTTAGAGGTAGTAGCTTACGCATATTAAAACAGAAGTTAGTATAAGTTTTTAGTATTTGACTTTTTTAATCTTATTAAAGTTAGATGGGAATATTGTATGGAAGCTATTAAGTCTAAAAACATAGTAAAATATATTTTCTCTGGAGCATCATAACATTGGTTATTCTGTACATGAGCTTCTAACATCAAATAACACGGTACAAATAATGCTTTGGAGTAAATTTAATGGAAACTAACGGATGGTAAATTTGTCACAAGTGTACCAATTTGGGATTTTCGGTAGTCAAAATATTAGTTTGGAGTAAATTTATCGCAAGTGTACCGGTTTGGGGTTTTTCGTGATATTAACTCTTGATACGATAATTTCTTCATTATAATCGCAATATGACCAAATGAAAGAGAATCTTTCTAGTCAAACTTTTGCTAAGAGCCAGGGATGTGTTCATAAGAAATTATTAAGATAACGTACCAAGATGACGCCTTTAATGTTGTCCGTGGTGAGATGAAATCCGATCTCATCAGACTCCTGGAGACGCTGTAGCACATCGACCAGATCTTCTTTGTCCGACGCATCTTCTGGCCTAACTGAGCATTGTTCTCGTTGCATTTTGTGGTCAGCAAGAATAGTATTCAAGATTTCGTCGTACTTCCGCTTTATCTTGTCCAACTTGAATTTCATCCCGTTAATATAGATCAGAAACCAAAGGGAAGGGAAAAGCTCGGCTAGGCCGAACCCACTTGCCAACCTCAAGGCTTCCTCGAGCGTCGAGATGAACTCGTCCTGCTGCTTGCACCTCTGGCCGAAAGCCGCCTTGCAAATGATGGAATTCGTGCAAGCGAAGATCCTAGCGCTGAGATTGAGAGGGAGACCCAACGACGATCCGATGTACTTGACGAGACTGTTCACCTCCTCTTCTCGTGCCCATGTGAATGACCGCACGCGCTTGACACTCAGAAGTTCCAAAACGCAGACCTTGCGGAGTTGCCTCCAGTATTCTCCGTAGGGGGCGAAGAACACGCTCGAGTTGTCGTAGCTCGTCAGTTCGGCCACTGGAAACGGTGGCTTGTTGGCAAAAGCGAGCTCTTGGGTCTTGAGGACCTCCTTGGCCGCTTCAGGAGAGGAAATTGTTACGACGGGAAGCTCGCCGAGTTGAAGATAGAAAACTGGTCCATATGTTTTGGCTAACTTGTTTAGGCGATGGTGCGGGAGTTCGCCGAACATCTGGTGCAAATTCCCAATCAGTGGCAACTTCTTGGGGCCTGGGGGCAACCTTAGATTGAACCCTTTTGTTCCATGTCTGCTAGAGATCACTTTAATTAGAATGAACAAAAAGAGAGACAGTGAAAGGATGAAGGAAAAGGCAGAGAGCTGAAGCATCCTGAAAAGCTAATAATAGGCGGTTCTTGTGTTTTGGTGAAGATTTTGCCATGCATTTGAGCTCCATTTATTGTGTTTTGTTATCCACTGGTTGGCATGCGATCTTTCTAGTTGTTGGTACATCGTTTTCTCAGATAGTTGGAGTCTTGTTTTAAATATGACCTATCATTGGGTTTGAATATAAGCATCTCAAAGTTGCCTAAATCACTTAAGTTTTCAAAGTAAATCACATCTCTTACCAATCCCCATCCAATGCAACCGAAATATCAACATAGTGCTGAGGTTTCTGGAGTTGGATCCATGGGGATACTGTCCTTAATTCCTTTGAGCCACCCAATTCCTGGCGCGGCGAAACCATTGTCAAATCGAGGATAGATGGGTAATGGACACTTCGAAAAATTTCAGAGGACCAAATCCTCAAAAGTCGGTGACCGTTAGATTACAAAAGAACAAATCTTGATCGTTCATCAAAACTTTCTAAAATATTTGTGAAATACCACTTTTTGAGTATAAGGTACCATAAAATGAACTTGGATACGATGTTTAGAGACCGTTAAACTAGTGATCCAAGGGTCCCTTTACCTGAGGGGTGATTTTAAAGCAAATATCGATGGATCTCATGTCATGTGAGCATTAATAGTTTAATCCAACTGCGGAGATTTTTTAAATTCGATTTTGTGCTATGAGGAAACAAAATCCTATTTGGCTTGGATTTTGAAGAATTAATTTCAAGGCATGACCAATAGGAAAACAAGCTAAACTTAGAAATTAATTGCAATAGCGTGACGGGGTACGTAACTTTAACTTAAGGAGTAAAAGTCAGTTCTATTGAAATGCATGCAAGACATGTGAGTGAAAGTGAATCTCAGTTACATAGATGAAATTGAAAAAGAAAAACCAACATATTCTATTGTGGCACTAGACAAAATCCAGTACCTCATAATTGGGTGACACACAAACCGATGAGTTATATTCAATCGAATATATTGGCTACTCTTTTTCAATTTCATCTATGTAATTGAGACTCACTTTCATTCAAAAGTCTTTAAAGTTCAAACATTCCCAACACCTTCTTGGCCCTCCTTGCCTAGTCACGTTAGGACTGAGAAACTGTCCATGTTCAATTGAGGAACCGGCCTAGTTGGTTTGGTTCGAAGCTAGTTCCAAAGAGAATCGTGCAGGTTCACGGTTCCAGAGAAACCAAGTTCGATTCCTAGGTTGAGAGTTGAACTCATATGTTCTACCCAGAAATCGAACTGACCAGGTTGGTTCTCGGGTCAAACGATTTTGAACCGGTCAAGACTATTTTCTAGCAAAAATTTAAGTTCATTAACAACTATAGAACTCAAAGAACACAAAAACAAGATCACAATCTGCTCACTCATTCTAGTTTTTGACTATGGATGGGCACGAGGCATGGGGAAATCTTGCCCCCGCGGTGCCCTAGCCCGATCGAAGCAAATTATCCTCGTGAAAACGGGGCGGGGCATTTTACTTTGTTGAATAAATATCTGTTAATATAATTTAGTGACAAGTAATACATTAAAATATCGATTATCCATTATAATTTATTACCCACTTATTTTACGACTAGCAAAAGATAAAATGTATATTTTGTTAAGTGTATAGTACAAAAAATATATTATACATAAGTAGAGTTGCATTTATGAGATCGTGAGTGTCTCGCTTATGAGATTATAGTACTTTTGATGACTGATTATAGAACATGAATAATTTTAAAGTAGCATAATTCATCATCGTCATGAACATTTGTTTCGCCGGTTTTTACTCCGTCGAAAATCTTTCACCGAACGCTGCGTTTCGGATTTTGTTAGAGGAGATCAGGGTCTTGAGTCAAGCTTGGACAGAGAATGTCAAATGCGTTTATTAATCCCAATTTAGATCTTACACCCAGACTCGATATGATACCAAACTCGACAATACTAATCAATGAAACGACAACTTGCAAATACCGAGACCAAGCTATGTCGGAATCTAATCAACGACACAGCTAATATGCGGTATTACCATTTAAGGTACGCCTAAATCTAATCAATGACGTAACTTGAGAGAATATGACTGGAATCTAATCAACAGCTATATTCCAAGCACAACGCCGGAATTTAATCGACGACGCTGAACTAATGGCACAACATTGGAATTTAATCTACAATGTTGAACCTGATAAAGACTCTTGCCGGAATTGAATCTACGACGCAGAATCTGAAAATTACAGATAAAACTACTCCTAATGTGCTAAAAGTAAAGCTTGATAAAAGATATGTTGTGTTGTTTGCAAAAAGTCCTTTCTTCGTTGGAAATCCTTGAGTATTTATAGAGCAGCTTGATAACTGTTGACCGCACTTCTCCTTGAAAGTCGTTTTTCACTTCCTTACGTTTCGCGTTTTAACTGCTTCCTGACTTATCGATGTTGCTTACGCTCCTTGGGCATCACGTAGTAGCTAATTTTCTTCCACGTGTCCCTTTATTTCTTTCTTGATCTTCACGCCCACGGTCATATCTCTACCTTTTGACACGTGTAAATGAATTTTCCGCCATGTATTACCATGATTCCGTGCAAAGCTCGTTCGTCGACGTCACGTGCAAAGCTCGTGATCTTAGATTCGTCGACATCACGTGCAAAGCTCGTGGTCTTGGATTCGTCGACGTCACGTGCACAGCTTGTGATCTTGAACTCGTCGATGTCACGTGCAAGGCTCGTGATTTTGAACTTGTCGACACCTCTATGACGTGTCTTGTCGATAATTATCTTAGGTCTTCTTAATGCCTCTGGGCCTGATTTGCAGCCTTTTTTGGATTTTCGCTATGTGGGCCGTACTTTATATCTTTTGTAACTTGTAAACGGCCCACTCCCTCTAGGGGTAATTTTGGGTGTCAACAACATTATAATTAATTATATATTTTTTACATATTATTTTGACAAACATTAGTGAAATATTCTCCCCACAGGGCATGGTGCCCTATGAGGCACTCCGTGCCTAACGTGGGGCATGCGGTGGTGGCAAGGCAAAGTTCCTCCTCACGGGGCAGGGAATGCGATCCTTGGCTCCGCCTCGCTCCTTGCCCATGCCTACTTTTGCCTCTCTTCTGATCTCTACAGTTTCGCAAAAATCAAGGGATTGTTTAAACAAAAGGAAAAAAGAAAGGGGTTCGGTTAAGTTCGTGATCATTTCCAAAGGGGATCGATTGCTTCCCGATTCCAGATTTTCTACAACTGTTCCCCCCCCCCCCCCCCCCCCCCCCCGGTATCGTTGCTGGTTCCAACTCTGGAGTCGGACTACCAGATGATGTTTACCCCCAATCTACTTGCACAATCTATTCACCTCATTTAAGTACAAGGTATGACATAGGAGCTGCAGATGCAATTATCACATTAACATTGGACATCTTTCCAAGATGACTTTGATATTACAAGCGAAGGAATAGGCAATCTGGCGCAACGGAAAAACATGAATAATATTAAGTAAAGACAACACCAAGCAATAGAAAAGAATATAAAGAAAGATAGTCAATAATTATGTATAATCTAGGATGATAATAACACAACTACTACGTCATGAAATCTTTTGCTGCTTAATCTACGCCAATTGAGCTCTAAACTATAAAGTTCATATTAAATTGTGATAAAGAGGCCCTTTTCGATCATCTGTACAACGTTGTTGTGTGTGAGTATAGTCGCGGAATAATCCGCGACAAATTCATGCGAAGCACCAATGATGGCGATGTTTCCATCGTGGATGGACAATAACGATAATAGGTATCTTCGTTAAAGACAAAAATGAGGGTGCCTTAATAGATTTTATCAAAGATTTGGGATGCCATTTTTCAACTGACCTTTGCTTGTAGGAAAGAAATCTGTTGGTATTTGCCAAAAGTCATTGATTTGAATTGAACTTAAAAGAATACTGTTTCAAATTTGACTATGAATTAAAACTCGTGAAACATGCTGAAGTTTGAAGTGATCCATTCGTCATTATGTATGTCATGTGTGAGGAGGCTAGCAAGGATCACCTAGAGGGGGCTGAATAGGTGATTTAAATAAATTCTTAACCAATTTAAAGCGGCAGTAAAAGATCAAGAATAAAGTCTGAACAACGTTCAGATTTTAAATAGACTTTGATAGCAATTGTTCACGTGTGCAATGTAATAAATAAAAGGAGTTTTAATGAATGAGAAAATCTGCACACAAGACGTATAGTGGTTCGGCTTAGAACAAGCCTACATCCACTCATCCACGCTAATAGCTTCCTGACTGGATTCCACTAGATGATCAATCAAGAGATTACAATTGTGAGTGATAATCCATAGTGTATGATAGATCTCACTATCTCACTCAATTACTCTTTTCAGTCTCTCTCAAAGATTATACTTTAAAGCTCACGAAAGACAAGTATATAGATTGAAAATCGCTCAGACTTTAGGATTCTAGATTCTAGATCTCGTCTCTTACTTCTGCTCCTTGGCACGTTGGTTTCGTTTTATACTTCTCCACTTCCAAACTAGCTGTTGGACAGTCTTTAGAGGATCGTCTTCCAATCTACCCGTTGGACAGAACTGTATCAAGAATATTGCGTAGTCGTTGAGGGACAAAATCTGAATCTCCGCTGAATTTGATCGCCCATACAATCAAAGTCTTGGTTTCCATAAGTAGAACTTCTTCGCTTGGAAAATAGCTTGTCTCGAGATTAATTGCCAATCAATCAACATGTTTTGCATATTAAACCGTTGCAAAACAATCTTTAAGATTGAGTCAATCAATCTATTTGAAGTGTAAAATCCAAACCAGATTACTAGCCGTTATGTACATTCTGATCTTATATCACATTCTGGACTTTACATTCTGAACTTGTGCCATTGTTTGGACTAATGTTCTAAACTTGAGTCTCAAGTTCATCACGTGCAGTATAAAGTCTGAACCTCTTCATCTGCAGTATAAAATCTGAACCTCTTCGTCTATAGTATAAAGTCTGAACATCTTCGTCTTTAGTATAAAGTCTGAACCTCTTGAAGTAATTTCACAATCTGAACA